TTCAGTTCCTGTTGTTGTCTTTGCCTTTGTATTGATGCCCCTTCAGTTCCTGTTGTTGTGTTTCCCTTTCTTTTGATGTCCCTTTAGCTCCTGTTGTTGTCTTTCCCTTTGTATTGATGTCCCTTTAGTTCCTGTTGTTGTCTTTCCCTTTGGATTGATTTACCTTCAGTTCCTGTTGTTGTCTTCCCCTTTGTCTTAATGTCCCTTCAGTTCCCGTTGTTGTCTTTCCCTTTGTATTGATGTCCTTTCTGTTCCTGTTGTTGTCTTTCCCTTTGTATTGATTGATGCCCCTTTAGTTCCTGTTGTTGTCTTTACCTTTGGATTGATTTCCCTTCAGTTCCTGTTGTTGTCTTTCCCTTTTTATTGATGTCCCTTTAGCTCCTGTTGTTGTCTTTACCTTTGATTGATGTCCCTTCAGTTCCTGTTGTTGTCTTTGCCTTTGTATTGATGCCCCTTCAGTTCCTGTTGTTGTGTTTCCCTTTCTTTTGATGTCCCTTTAGCTCCTGTTGTTGTCTTTCCCTTTGTTTTGATGTCCCTTCAGTTCCTGTTGTTGTCTTTCCCCTTGTATTGATGTCCTTTCAGTTCCTGTTGTTGATTGATATCCCTTCAGTTCCATTTGTTGTCTTTCTTTTTTTTGTTGATGTCCCTTCAATTCCGTTCGTTGTCTTTCCCTTTGTATTGATGCCCCTTCAGTTCCTGTTGTTGTCTTTCCCTTTGTTTGACGCCCCTTCAGTTCCTGTTGTTGCCTTTCCCTTTTTATTGATGTCCCTTCAGCTCCTGTTGTTGTCTTGCCCTTTGTATTGATGCCCCTTTAGTTCCTGTTGTTGTCTTTCCCTTTGGATTGATTTACCTTCAGTTCCTGTTGTTGTCTTCCCCTTTGTCTTAATGTCCCTTCAGTTCCCGTTGTTGTCTTTCCCTTTGTATTGATGCCCCGTCAGTTCCTATTGTTGTCTATCCCTTTGTTTTGATGTCTCTTAATCTCCTGATTTTGTCTTTCCCTTTGTATTGATGTCCCTTCATTTCCTGTTGTTGTCTTTCCCTTTGTGTTGATGTCCTTTCAGTTCCTGTTGTTGTCTTTGCCTTTGTATTGATGCCCCTTCAGTTCCTGTTGTTGTCTTTCCCTTTTTATTGATGTCCCTTCAGTTCCTGTTGTTGTATAACCCTTTGTATTGATGTCCCTTCAGTTCCTGTGGTTTCTTTCCCTTTTTGTTGATGTCCCTTCAATTCCGTTCGTTGTCTTTCCCTTTGTATTGATGCCCCTTCAGGTCCTGTTGTTGTCTTTCCTGTTGTAGAGATGTCCCTTCAGCTCCACTTGTTGTCTTTCCCTTTGTATTGATGTCCCTTTAGCTCGTGTTGTTGTCTTTCCCTTTGTTTTGATGTCCCTTCAGTTCCTGTTGTTGTCTTTGCCTTTGTATTGATGCCCCTTCAGTTCCTGTTGTTGTGTTTCCCTTTGTTTTGATGTCCCTTCATCTCCTGTTTTTGTCTTTCCATTTGTATTGATGTCGCTTCATTCTTGTTGTTGTCTTTACTTTTGTATTGATGTCCTTTCAGCTCCTGTTGTTGTCTTTCCCTTTGTATTGATGTCTTCAATTCCGTTCGTTGTCTTTCCCTTTGTATTGATGCCCCTTCAGTTCCTGTTGTTGTCTTTCCCTTTGTTTGACGCCCCTTCAGTTCCTGTTGTTGCCTTTCCCTTTTTATTGATGTCTGTATTGATGCCGCTTCAGCTCCTGTTGTTGTCTTTCCCTTTGTATTGATATCCCTTCAGTTCCTGTTGTCCTTTGTATTGATGCCCCTTCAGTTCCTGTTGTTGTGTTTCCCTTTCTTTTGATGTCCCTTTAGCTCCTGTTGTTGTCTTTCCCTTTGTTTTGATGTCCCTTCAGTTCCTGTTGTTGTCTTTGCCTTTGTATTGATGCCCCTTCAGTTCCTGTTGTTGTCTTTCCCTTTGTTTGACGCCCCTTCAGTTCCTGTTGTTGCCTTTCCCTTTGTATTGATGCCCCTTCAGTTCCAGTTGTTGTGTTTCCCTTTGTTTTGATGTCTCTTCATCTCCTGTTTTTGTCTTTCCATTTGTATTGATGTCGCTTCATTCTTGTTGTTGTCTTTACTTTTGTATTGATGTCCTTTCAGCTCCTGTTGTTGTCTTTTCCTTTGTATTGATGCCCCTTGAGTTCCTGTTGTTGTCTTTCCCTTTGTATTGATGCCCCGTCAGTTCCTATTGTTGTCTATCCCTTTGTTTTGATGTCTCTTAATCTCCTGATTTTGTCTTTCCCTTTGTATTGATGTCCCTTCATCTCCTGTTGTTGTCTTTCCCTTTGTATTGATATCCCTTCAGTTCCTGTTGTCCTTTGTATTGATGCCCCTTCAGTTCCTGTTGTTGTCTTTCCCTTTGTTTGACGCCCCTTCAGTTCCTGTTGTTGCCTTTCCCTTTTTATTGATGTCCCTTCAGCTCCTGTTGTTGTATTTCCCTTTGTATTGATGTCCCTTCAGTTCTTGTTGTTGTCTTTCCCTTTGTATTGATGTCCCTTTAGCTCGTGTTGTTGTCTTTCCCTTTGTTTTGATGTCCCTTCAGTTCCTGTTGTTGTCTTTCCTTTGTATTGATGCCCCTTCAGTTCCTGTCGTTGCCTCTCCCTTTGTATTGACGTCCCTTTAGTTCCTGTTGTTGTCCTTCCCTTTGTATTGACGCCCCTTCAGTGCCTGTTGTTGCCTTTCCCTTTTTATTGATGTCTGTATTGATGCCGCTTCAGCTCCTGTTGTTGTCTTTCCCTTTGTATTGATATCCCTTCAGTTCCTGTTGTCCTTTGTATTGATGCCCCTTCAGTTCCTGTTGTTGTCTTTCCCTTTGTATTGATTGATGCCCCTTTAGTTCCTGTTGTTGTCTTTACCTTTGGATTGATTTCCCTTCAGTTCCTGTTGTTGTCTTCCCCTTTGTCTTAATGTCCCTTCAGTTCCCGTTGTTGTCTTTCCCTTTGTATTGATGCCCCTTTAGTTCCTGTTGTTGTCTTTCCCTTTGGATTGATTTCCCTTCAGTTCCTGTTGTTGTCTTCCCCTTTGTATTAATGTCCCTTCAGTTCCCGTTGTTGACTTTCCCTTTGTATTGATGCCCCTTCAGTTCCTGTTGTTGTCTTTCCCTTTGAATTCATGTCCCTTCAGCTCCTGTTGTTGTCTTTACCTTTGTATTGATGTCCTTTCTGTTCCTGTTGTTGTCTTTCCCTTTGTATTGATGTCCCTTCAGCTCCTGTTGTTGTCTTTACCTTTGTATTGATGTCCTTTCTGTTCCTGTTGTTGTCTTTCCCTTTGTATTGATGCCCCTTGAGTTCCTGTTGTTGTCTTTCCCTTTGTATTGATGTCCCTTCAGTTCCTGTGGTTTCTTTCCCTTTTTGTTGATGTCCCTTCAATTCCTGTTGTTTTCTTTCCCTTTGTATTTTTGCCCCTTCAGTTCCTGTTGGTGTCGTTCCCTTTTTATTGATGCCCTTTCAGTTCCTGTTGTTGTCTTTCCCTTTGTATTGATTTCCCTTCAGCTCCACTGGTTGTCTTTCCCTATCTATTGATGTGCCTTCAGCTCCTGTTGTTGTCTTTCCCTTTTTATTGATGTCCCTTTAGCTCCTGTTGTTGTCTTTCCCTTTTATTGATGTCCCTTAAGTTCCTGTCGTTGTTTTTCCCTTTGTATTGATGCCGCTTCAGCTCCTGTTGTTGTCTTTCCCTTTTATTGATGTCCCTTAAGTTCCTGTCGTTGTTTTTCCCTTTGTATTGATGCCGCTTCAGCTCCTGTTGTTGTCTTTCCCTTTGTATTGATGTCCTTTCAATTCCGTTCGTTGTCTTTCCCTTTGTATTGATGCCCCTTCAGGTCCTGTTGTTGTCTTTCCCTTTGTATTGATGTCCCTTCAGCTCCACTGGTTGTCTTTCCCTATCTATTGATGTCCCTTCAGCTCCTGTTGTTGTCTTTCCCTTTTATTGATGTCCCTTAAGTTCCTGTCGTTGTTTTTCCCTTTGTATTGATGCCGCTTCCGCTCCTGTTGTTGTCTTTCCCTTTTATTGATGTCTCTTAAGTTCCTGTCGTTGTTTTTCCCTTTGTATTGATGCCGCTTCCGCTCCTGTTGTTGTCTTTCCCTTTGGATTGAGGCCCCTTCAGTGCATGTTGTTGCCTTTCCCTTTGAATCGATGTCCCTTCAGCTCCTGTTGTTGTCTTTCCCTTCGTATTGATGCCCCTTCAGTTCATGTTGTTGTCTTTCCCTTTGTATTGATGCCCCTTCAGTTCATGTTGTTGCCTTTCCCTTTGAATCCATGTCCCTTCAGCTCCTGTTGTTGTCTTTCCCTTTGTATTGATGCCCCTTCAGTTCATGTTATTGTCTTTCCCTTTGTATTGATGTCCCTTCAGTTTCTGTTGTTGTCTTTCCCTTTTTCCCTTCTTCAATGTGTGAACGAGTATCACTTTGTTTCGTCGCATAGTTGTGGTCTAGCAGTTGATATTGGACATCGTTGTTGTTGTTATTGTCAGTTAATGCGTTTAGTTTACATTTAAAACGGCCGATTTTACGTCGGGCATGCATGTCGGCCATCACTGCCACGTCGTTGTTTACATCGTTACGACGCAAGGAACACAACTCTGTAGTCGATACGTTATTCAAACAAAATCTATTCAAGGGAAGATAACAACATTGTCGAAATGGTAATCAGGGGCAGGTGACTCTAACACTGAAAAACGACAGTGGAATTCTTTAGTGTTTTGCTCTGACTGGGACGGGGATCCTTAAGTTGGCGTTTCATAATTAAGAATGTTTTTTGTTGGAATGCAGAGGTAATATGTTGCGTCATATATCACAATAGATTCTTTTCTGAAGTATATTTTATCGCAAAACCTTAACCACGGACTTAGATAATCTAATTCCGTGCCTTAACGAAGATAAAAGATAACGTATTACGAATAACAACAACAACAATTACCTCCCTTAGACCATTAACTAAAGTCTTTTTCTGAAACTGACTATATAGTGCAGTCATCCCAATCTAAGCATCCATTACTATGTATACACACATATCTCTGTCTGCTCTCAAGCCAGTATGTTAAGGTCAAGTTCACGTTGTTTATTGGAGTAGGACATCATAGGAACATGCTAGATTGTTTCTACAACAGGTAAGCTACATATTATATATTCTAAGACACTGATATGTATATTGTAACATACTGTTACTGTATTTGTTATGATCACGCTTGGATCATGTTTTGCATTAATGCAGTTCGTTTCTGGACGAAAACAGTAAGCTAGCTATTACCTGTACGGTAAAAGTATATCGTTTAATGACCTGGACGTAAACATCCGTGTGAAGTGTCACCTTGCATGCCTACATGACAGACCCTGACCAGCTGCAGACTGTTATGCGTGCGGTGATATCTATATATTGACAAAGGACACTTGACACGATAACACAACGCTGAGCATAGCTGTATAACTGTTAGACTAATATGAATTGTATCGACTTTCATATGATAAAAGCGTTTCAAAGCTTGATTTGTTAGCTTAAATCAATCTCTCAAATTAACGATTGTTGTCGTACAATTCAAGATTGTGAGCATTCCAAACTTTTCTATATTAAAATGAGTATTGTATATTTATTGTTTTTCAATTATCGACTTTAGAAAACCGAGATAAGTGTTTATTAATTATTCGATTCAGCCTAATATGCCAATCTTTATAGTGTTCGATGGTATCCTTCTTTTTTACCTAAAGGGTATCCGGTTGATGTGATATGCAGAAAATGTCGAAGTTTAAGGATGACTATGATATTAAAGGGAGCGATTCGGAAGAAAAACTTCCACTGCGTAGACGGATGTCGTCAGGCGACCTTCCATTGAAGACGTTAGCTGTTTGGTCGGGTGACATTCGTTTGAAAACATTAGCTGTAAGGCTATTTCACGTTTAGTATAGTCTGATAAATTCCTTTTATAAAGTCATCATACAAAATGAAGTCCAAATACTGGAATATAAATCCCAAACAAATTCTACTTAGAAAGCCATCATACAAGCCTCAGTACTAGAATGTACACGAATTAGTAGAATTAAAATGGAAGGTCGGGCTATTGTTTGTTCTTGTTTGCCTATGACTTTTCCAATAATTTACGAAATCACCATTTTAGAAAGTCATTGTAAAATTTTTGGCCTTGTGTGAAATGTGATCAAACAAATATGATTCGCCTGTCAAACATCTTTCAGCTGACGCCGGATGACTTGTTGACCCCGGAAGAGAGTTTCTATATTGGGAGAGTCTGTTGTTCAGCCCATTCGTCCGATTGTAAGGATGACGGTACAGAAAGTCGACATCACATCCGATTGACGGAGGTAGCACCCTCACACAGCAGTATAATAGGAGGTAAATTGTCAGTTGTCTTTTCAAGTTCCATGTCTTGTTACCTGTTTTTTCTTCTAATGAAGCAATTAAGTAAAGAAGCAGGATCTCAATTATACACTGCCGTAGTGTACCCATACATGTAGGTTATTTCTAGTTGAACTAAGACACTCAGAGACTCTTTATCGCTTGGCATCGACCCGTCCGTCTCATTATTTTTCATTATGTTTCCTGTTTTATTTCCAATTGGTTTATGTGCAGAATTTCGTCCCATCTTTTAGAGAAAAAAATTCAATGATTTATTTTCAACATTGTTGACGAGATTATCCAAAATACTGTGAGGAGTTCTTTTATTCTGTTATTGTAAATTGGCGATCTTCTGACAAATAACGCTCCTCCTCCTCCTCCCTCCTCCTCCTCCTCCTCCTTCATGTCATATTTTACCATGATTATTCACCATATAATTGTCTGTAGAATTGTATTCACATTAAAGTACTTAACCAAATTATATCAGATATCTTATACACATAATATATCTTATTTAAAGTTTATGAGATATATGATACATTTTATAAGATATCTTGTATACTTTATAAGATATCTTATAAAAGATATAACATATATTATATAATATATAAGATATCTTATTTATTATATAAGATTTCTCAATTAGTTTTCTTTATAAGATATCTTATACATTATACAAGATATCTCATAAAAGATATAAGATATATCATATAATATATAAGATATCTTATGAAGAAAAGTTTATGAGATATCTTTTTAAGAACGAGACTCTCGCGAGACCGACAAAGAAGAAATGTTTGAAAATGACTGCTCCCGTAGGAAGGTCAAATCCGTTTTCGTAGGCGATAATGTGGTTTAGTACTTGATCAACATTGCCCCTTAAATACATGACAACTTGGCTTGCCATAATTATATGGAGTTTCAATTTGTTAACTAGTCCCATTGTCATCGGCTGCCATTTTCGATCAAATCCTCTCGGACCCCCTCGGTTATCGATAGGTTCCGAGCGCTGTGGGGGAGGATTTATTATCTCTAATTCAAATATCGTTCTTAATAAGATATCTTATATATTATATAAGATATCTCATAAAAGATATTATATATTATAAAAAAAAAAAGGATATATCTTATATATTATATCAGATATCTTATATATCTTTTAGATGATATCTTACAAACAAAATTAAATGAGATATCTTATATAATTCGGGTATAAGATATCTTAAAGATATCTCTTAAAGGATATAAGATATCTTATATATTATATGATATATCTTATATCTTTTATGAGATATTTTATATCTTTTATGAGATATCTTATATACTATATGAGCTATCTTATATCTTTTATGAGATATTTTATATCTTTTATGAGATATCTTATATACTATATGAGCTATCTTATATCTTTTATGAGATATCTTATATAATATATGAGCTATCTTATATCTTTTATGAGATATCTTATATACTATATGAGCTATCTTATATCTTTTATGAGATATCTTATATACTATATGAGCTATCTTATATCTTTTATGAGATATTTTATATCTTTTATGAGATATCTTATATACTATATGAGCTATCTTATATCTTTTATGAGATATTTTATATCTTTTATGAGATATCTTATATAATATATAAGATATCTTATTAAGTATATAAGATAGCTCATTTATTATATAAGATATCTTATAAAGTATATACGATATCTTTTATAATTATATAAGATATCTTATATAAATTGGTTACGTACTGGAGTAGTAAGGTCACATCCGTTTCCGTTGGCGATCATTTGGTTTAGTACTGGATCAACATTGCTCCATGAATAAATGACAACTTGGCTTGCCATAAAGGCAGTATTATGGAGACAAGTTTATCGCTTTTAAAACCGGTCTCGAAGGTAGCCCTCATTTCGGGTAGTAGGTAAATTAGAAAGGTTACAACCAAATATGATGTTGCTTCTTCAAGTAATGCCATTTAGTCTCGCTTGTTTACCACACTATACCCCCTTCTCTATAGAGCCTGTTCAACAGTATCAGGTTCTTCGGGATAGACTTTGACCATTACACTACATAACCAGGATTTTCTACAGGAAAGATTTCTATCTGCGCTGAACACTTCATACGGTCCTCATCATGATCTGGTGTCTTTCTATGAGTTAATACTGTCCTTTACAGAGCCGATACCAAACTTCGGAGCCAGCCGATTTTACCGTTAGGAGACCGCGAGAATCTTTTGATGAATATCACAGGAACAAATTAGTCTTTTCGTCTCACCCACAAGGTGAATCACGCTGAACCTTCGATTTTTTTATGACATGTTCCAGGGGTGCCGAGAGCGAAAGTGACCGTAACCCCTGGAGTATGGAGGAGGGCTGTTATCCGACATTTTTGTCTTCCGATGCACTGTCTTTTGCATTTTGATTTCATTTCCTCGCTTTTCTAGAATTTATCATCACTTGATCGGTATATTTGTTAAGGAAATCTCGCCTAGATAACATCATTATATTATGTCATTGCAGGGGTTCAAATCATAATGTCTTTAACGAGGTTCTTATTACCATGTATTTGGAGAGGTTCTAATTACCATGTATTTGGAGAGGTTCTAATTACTATGTATTTGGAGGGGTTCCAATTACCATGTATTTAGAGAGGTTCTAATTACCATGTATTTGGAGAGGTTCTAATTACCATGTATTCGGAGGGGTTCTAATTACCATGTATTTGGAGGGGTTCATCATTTAGCGAGGACATTTCTTAGTAGTTGTGTGGAATAAACTGACTTCTTTAGCTGACTAACGTGGCGCAGTAGGTAAGGTGGAAATTGTTTGAAACACTATTGTTTTATCTTCCCTTCAATTTAACTCTAAACTTCTTCGTCTGTCCTCTTTCCTTCCTCCCTTCCTACATATCTCTCATCCCCAAATACACAAAATACACGAAAAAGTTATTGTTACTATTTATCCCCCGCTTTCACCGAAAGGGGGGATATTAATTTGGGTTCGTCCATCTGTCTGTCACGCTTCGTTTCCGTGTAATAACTGCAACAAATGTCGTCATTATCTGCAGTTTCCGCTTAATAACTCTAGCAAATATTACCCGAATTCCTTCAAACTTGATAACAGTGTTTGTGTTTCTCTGTCTTTCAACCCATCTCGGGCACTCTTTGGTTTTCGTGTAATAATTGCTGTAGATATTGTGCAGATATTTCAACCAGATTCCGTATGCGCATCCGACTCATGTGATTTGTGCAAATTTACGGATAATTAATGAGGTTAGTAAATTCTGATGGATTAAACGATTAATTTACACCGTAATATCTACATGTTCACTAAAAAGTTTAACTTCTGTATAAGTTTTTTTTTTCTTCGAGTTTCAAGCTATACATTATTTCTCAACAACACGATATTCACATGTTTAAACCTAACCTCAATGATGTTTACCTACAATATGTTCTGCAAGCGGGGGGATATAAATTCCACTAATTTAATTTTTTTTAATATATATTTTAAAGAATAAATGATTTTAAACAATCAAAATGACGAGAGTTTTATATTAGCTCACCTGGCCCGAATGGCCAAGTGAGTTTATGCCATGGTGCGGCGTCCGTTCGTCGTCCGTCCTTTTACTTTAAACAACTTCTTCTTCTATGACCAGGATACCCAGGCTGATGATGTTTGGTCAGTAGCATGCTGGGATGAAGAGCTACAAAGTTTGTTCCAATGAATGACTTTTGCCCATTTTCAAGGTCACAGGGGTCAATTATGTAAAAATCTTTAAACAACCTCTTCTGAGTAACTAGAAGGCACAGTATGATGATATTTGGTCACTAACATGCTGGGATAAAGCACTACCAAGTTTATTCAAATGAATGACCTTCGCCCATATTCCAGGTCACACGGGTGTCAAATATGTTCAAACTTTTAAACAACTTCTTCTTAATAACCAAGAGGTCTAGGGTGTTGATACTTGGCCAGTAGCATGCTTGGATAAAGGGCTAAAAAATTTGTTCAAATGAATGATCTTCGCCAATATACAAGGTCACAGGGGTCAATTGTCTTAAAAACAGTTAAACGACTTCTTCTATGTAACCAAAATGTCTAGGGTGATGACGTTTGGCCAGAAGAATGTTGGCATAAGAGGATACCAAGTTTGTTCAAATGAATGCCCTTCACACTTATTCAAGGTCACAGGGGTCAATTGTCTTAAAAACCTTTTAACGACTTCTTCTGAATTACCAAAAGCTGCAGGGTGATGATATTTGGCCAGTAGCATGCGTTGATGAAGGGCTACTAAGATTGTTCAAATGAATGACCTACGCCGATATACAAGGTCACAGGGGGTCAATTATCTTAAAAAAACTTTAAACGACTTTTTCTGTATAACCAAAACGTCCAGGGTGATGATATTTGGCCAGAAAGGATGTTTGGATGAAGGGTTATCAAGTTTGTTCAAATGAATGTCCTTTGCCCTTAATCAAGGTCACAGGGATTAATTGTCTTAAAAAACCTTTAAACGACTTCTTCTGTTTAACCAAAATGTCCAGGGTGATGATATTTGGCAAGAAGATATTGGCATGAAGGGCTACAAAGTTTGTTCAAATGAATGACCTTCACTCATATTGAAGGTCACATGGGTCAATTGTCTCAAAAACGTTTTAACGACTTCTTCTGTATAACCAAAATGTCCAGGGTAATGATGTTTGGTCAGAAGGATGTTGGCATGAAGGGCTACCAAATTTGTTATAATGAATGACCTTCACTCATATTCAAGGTCACATGGGTCAATTGTCTTAAAACCTTTAAATGACTTCTTCTGATTTAATAAAGTGTACAGGTTGAGTGCTTGTAGATTTGAATGAAATTGACACGCTTTCCTGGTCGCATCTGGTCCAAAGTGCATAAAACTTTAAAAGTCATCTTCTCAATAAACAAAAGGTACAGGGTGGTGATATTTGGCAAGTTGTATTCTGAACGATATTTTGCCTGTAGCTTTATTTGAGTCCTCTTTTAGGGTTACAACTGTGAAATTAATACCAGGTTAACGATGCAGGCCCATTGGACCTCTTGTTTATCTCAAATGTCATGTCTGACCACCAATAATTAAGGTGACTTCAAAACATGATGCTGCATGAAATTATTTGTATTACTTTTAAATCTAGCTCGCATATCAAATGTAGGTATATGATCGTCATCTTGACACCGCGCTGTGGTTGTTTTCGGGATACAGGTATGACTTGTGTTACTTTGAAATACAAAAAGACTAACAATCAGTTAGAAGGAAAGGACAATCCCGCATTTATTTCTTCACCCTCATCAGGTAAAAAAATGATTATTTGATTTTACATGTTATTTATTTTTTCTGTCAGATCAGCAGCACGTCGTAACGTCGCCATACAATCAGCATCCTACAAGCTACCTTTCGTCCCTTATATTTTATACATCCGACTCCTTATTAAATATACCTCTCGTCCCCCATACTGATATACATCGGTTCCCTTATTTACAGGAATCAACCATGATGATTGGAAACCCTCTTTGGGGCTTTATACCTCAAAAAAGCAAGGTCATAACCTTAACAAGTCATGCTCCAAACGCATTAGGTAAGTAAACAATGTAGCGATGCCTAAAACGTATTTGTACTTACTTATCAGTTATTATTTGTATGACCGCAGTGTTTTAGTTTGAACAAAGATCCTTCCCTTTTTTTATCTGTTTTTTTTTCCACGTATTTTTTACATGTACATTGACACGTTTATAGTAGTAGTTTTACAAAGTGAGGCCCTGATCTGTACAAATAAAGACTCTGTTCAAACATCAGACACAAGTTGCCTCCGACGCCAAAGGTCGAACTTATGCCAAACAGCACAGCAATTCAAACGCTGTAGGCCTTCACATTCTGGGCTTGTCTGAAGTTAACTGAAATATACACACAAGGGCAAGCTAGACAGGACAAATTTAATTCAATAAGCAATCTATAAGCAAAAATTTACATTGTCCCTTAAAATGTGCTTATTATATCATAACTTAAACCATATATTATGACAACAACGACGACAACAGCACATGTGGTTGGAGGTATGCGTGATGCCTTCTACAGGAAATGTGGGCCGGGTTATTTAAGAAATAAAAAATAAATTGAACAGTTCACATGTAAGTTGGTTTTGAAAAATGAAATATGAATACGCTGATTAAAATAATTTGTCAGTTACATGTTTTATGAACCATTAACAGAAAAATGCAGAAAATATCTGGAAGAAACATCATATTTGGTTGTCAACTTTCTAATTTACCTACTAAGCGAAATAAGAACTACCTTCGAGACCGGTTTTAAAAGCGATAAATTTGTCTCCATAATACTGCCTTTAATATGAATACAATTTTACAGACAATTATATGAGGAATGATTTTGTTATAACCGAATATGTTTCTATTTCATTCATGTTATGAGGGTGATGACTCGAGTTGATCATGTGTAAATTTATTATATCAAACTTGTTCAAAATAGAAACTATTCCTTAAATACGTTATCAAAGACATAAACACATCATATCATTACCACTGTTTAACTTTGGTTCCTTTTATGACACTGAGTTGAACTTTGTTTTGATTCTATTGATATCAAATAAATCAAAGGGCCGTGGTTGCCAAGTGGTTAAGGCGTCTGGCATTCTGCTACCAGTAGCCCTCCACCACTGGGTCAGGGGTTCGAGACCTACATGGTACAGTCGCCAGGTACTGACCTTAGGTCTGTGTTTTTTCTCCAGGTACTCCGGCTTTCCTCCACAACCAAAACCTGGCACGTCGCAAAATGACCATAGCTGTAAATAGGACGTAAAACACAAACTAACCAAACAAATGTTTTATATATTATGTCTATTTTAATATCACGATCGAGAGTTGACTCCCCTTTCCTTAGAAGTAACATAGTTGTATTCACTTTTTCATCTTTTACCATTCGGACTTCCTGGTTTGGTGACTCTCTTAAACGATGTTTTCCTCTTTGTTGTCCTCTCCTCCATTTGAAGTTCCGATGTTTTCCTCTTTGTTGTCCTCTCCTCCATTTTAAGTTCCGATGTTTTCCTCTTTGTTGTCCTCTTCTCCATTTTAAGTTCCGATGTTTTCCCCCTGTGTGTTGACTCTGTAGTTGATGCATTTTTTTATTTTGACGAATGTGTTGACGTTTGCAGGTCATACTACAAGGCTCAAGATGAGTTGATCGAGGCGTACGAGGAGATCCAGTTGGAGTTGGACGACGCCATAGACAATGCTGAAGTTGCGACGAAACTCCGTCGTAAAGCAGTCTTCTACGCTAAGCTTAGTCTATTTATCAACGTGGTAAGTTTTTCTGCACATATATCCATTGCAGGTCGGATTTTCAGGTAAAAAATAAATACATGCTGTTCCTCACTGCCTATTGTATGACGCTACTTATGTGGGAACCCCCTGCATAAGTGAGGATTTGCTATTGTGTGCTCTAGCAGGAGACAAAAGAGCGACCGAAATTGATATGCTGTACTCATTGCCAAATATGGGATCTATATATTTTCTCTCCCCAGTTTTAATCTTTTATTTTGTTTTCAAGTTCCTAATTGGCAAAATCTCACATTTGGCTTTAGTGTTGAACGTTTTGGTTAATCCCATGGGTATTGCCCCAATACCGGGAGTTACCAAAGTCTTTTTTATGTTATTCCTTGCTAACCTTTCAGCATTTGAAGTAATCACAACCGGTCAACCATTTGTCAGTAGTTTGTAACTGGGAAGAATAATGTGATGGGTGCCTTTGGTATGGTGTTTCAGTGAGACAGTACCTGAACGTATTCAGAAGATCTATATATCGCAAGGAGGCAAACACAATAACATCTACCTCTAGAACACACGCATACATTACACAAATTGAGTTATGCCCTGTCCATAAATGATCTGAGCTGTTAATAGTGCACTAAGTGTTCAAGTAAATGTGTCGCAACTCAAACTTCTATGCCAATTTATTGTACATATCAATGTGGTAATTGCTCCCATAACGCAAGCTTCTATGTAAAGGTCAGACTATCGATTAAATAGGTCAGTATTCCCGTGCATACGTGTTTGGACAAGCTGATACACAAAGCTATGTCTTCTGATAAATATGTGAAATATATTAAATATTCTGATGATAGCTATACGCTCTAGGACAAGCGCCTAAACCAAATAATCTAATAATCAAGGTTGAAAGCGTTCATGTATATCGGTTGTTACAGCAATTTGCATGTGATTTAGAACACTTTCTCTTCGGTACACATGGTTTCTCCTTTGTGTTATTGTAGTTTATGTTCCAGTCGTCATTAATAAAAGTGAATTTAGAACTATGCGGAAGAAATTATATTTGTTACTGACAGTGAATGACCTGATGAGTAAGAACTTTATTCTTCAGATCCTATATTTCTTTACTTTCATGAAAAGATTACGCTATTGTAGTGTAGACAATTTTAACTACTAATGACAGGGGCGGATCCAGGATTTCCTAATAGGTTAAACGGTGTGCTGCCGAAGGCAGGACCCCGAGCGCGTAGCGCCAGGAGGGGGAGGGTACGGGAGGTGGTGTTCCCACTCCCGTAAGGGGGGTTTGGGGGATCTCCCCCCAAAAAATTGTGTTTTCTAGAACGTCTCAGAAGCAATTTCCCGTGTTCTGAGGATTGTTTTTATTTTTAATTACATATTTTAAAAACATATTTTAAGTATGGCCCAAAGACTTTTTTTATGTACTGGAAAGAAAATTAAAGTTTCGGGTCAAATTCTCTATCAACAGCGTGTTTTAGAAGTCAGATGGTATTATTATAGGGGCAACCTGGTGATGACAAATGTATGAATCCACAGGGGGCTTGTTCATTATTACCTTATTTGGCGTCCCGCCCGCAAGGGGGATACGAGAGGTCCACCGTCAAAATATAAATGTAGGGACGCACAATGTATCTAGTCTTCAGACATTGTACCTACAGTACAGTACTTCATGTAATAGTTTGTCGTACATGGGTAAGAAACGTAATAGATCTCATACGGACACGAGTACTGTAATGGCTATGGCACATAGAGATCTCTATGGTACCCCACATGGTAATGTGGCCGCCACGCAACCATGTTTCCAACCTGCCCCGCAGTACCCGCAGTACCCTATGCAAAGCTCGTGTATACCCCCAGTTCTTCTGCGAATCCTCAGTTGATGTTCCCTCAGGCAACCTCGCCTACTCCTGACACAATTTCCCCACACTTCAGCGATCAAATTCTTCGAGACATATTTCAACGGTTAACTAAGCTGGATACACTGGATCAAATCATGTCTAGACTCAGTGTCATCGAGAGCAAGTTTAGCAGTATGGAGAGTTCGTTATCAGGCGTTAAACGTGAACTTAAAACGCACAGTGAACAGCTCGAGGGTGCGGATTTCGACCATTCCATTCTTGAGGATAGAGTCAGCAAAGTGGAACTTGAACGGGAGGAGGTACGGGAAGAAAATCGCTTACTGAAAGATCAAATACTCGAGATCCAAACACGATCGATGAAGGACAACCTGTTATTTGGAGGAATCCCAGATGTTGACCGTGATGAAGACACCGAGGCTGTTGTGAAGGAATTCATCAAGACGGAACTCGGTATTGAAGAGGAAATGCAGCTTCATGTTGCCCATAGGCTGAGGAAAAGATCCGATAATAAACCTAGGTCCATAGTAGCTAAATTCTCTAGCAGAAAAGATAGAGACAAAGTGTTGAAGGCTGCCCCAAAACTAGCGGGGAAAAGAGAATTCTCTGTATTTGAGCAATTCCCGCCGGAAATAAATGACAGGCGACGTTTACTCTCTCCGGTGTTTCAGGAAGCCAAGAGGCATGGAAGGCACGCTCGCCTGCTAGGTGATAAACTCTACATTGACGGTAACCTTTACATCCCACCTCAGCATCATCATCCTAGTCATCCTCCCATCGGCCGAGATCATCCTCCTGATTCTCGCAGAGGACCTGGATGGCACTCATCGGCCCAAGGACGGCAGACAGCCACGCCCCCTAGTGGTCAGCATCAGTTCCGTAATGCTCGTCACGTGCCAGACCCCCGCAATGACAGTCGCCCCATGTAGGGAGACGCGACAAGAGGTCAACCTCGTGACATTGATAAAGACACTATCAAGTTTACTTTCCTTAATGTTTGCGGTATTAAGTCTAAGATACTTTTGCCTGAGTTTGAAGACTTAATCCTAGCACATGACATACTTATTTTTGCAGAGAGCAAGATTGATAATCTGGATCATTTACAACTACCGCCTGACTATGAATATTTTGCTAAATGTAGAACAAATGCATATAAAAAATCTGGTGGTATAGTAATTATTTTTAAGAAAACTCTCAAGTCGATGTTGACTTTTTTAAAACTATATCAGAATATGTATTGTGGGTAAATTTTTCAAAACACATTGTGAACTCTGATCTAGATTTTCTACTGGGATGTGTTTATATACCTCCCGAAAATACTAAGTATGCATCCCCGGAATGAAAATGAGAGGGAGATGATAGAATTATCCCATCATGGTAACAAAGTCGCCATAGTCGGAGATTTTAATGCTAAAACCCAAGTTAGAGATGATTTTGTAGAACCAGATGATAACTTCATTCGTTCATTAAACTTAGATGAGAATGATGAGCTATACTCATATCTCTATGATATTGAAAAGTTGAAATTATATAATGTTCCTCTGCGAAGGGCAAGTCAATGTAAAGCTAAAGTTAATAATTATGGCAATAAATTGCTTGACTTCTGCAGGGACAGTACTATACGTCCCTGACTTCTGCAAGCAAAATAATATGTATATTGCCAATGGTCGGATTGGAAATGATGCACAAATAGGTAAAACTACATGTAGTGATGTCAGCGTTATAGATCATCTATTGCTGTCTTCAGATATGTTTCGGTATACAACAGATTTTGAAATCAAAGTCTTTGACCCACTCATATCAGATGTCCACTGTAGGCTTGTATTTAGCCTTTGTAAATTAACTGATGAATGTATATATAATACCGAATGTCATGAAAATCGATATACAAAGTGGAAATCCTGTAAAGAACAAGATTTTGTAAAACATATACTAGATGATGAAAGAGGTAATCTCCATAGAATTAATGATAAATTAAATGAATTATTAAATAAACAACACGACAATGTAACCAATAACGAAATTAATGACATTGTAAACTCAATTAGTGAATTGTTCAAAGGCTCTGCTAAGCAGGTTTTTGGTAGTAACAATGCTTACAGGAAACGGAGGTTGAGATGTGATAATAAACCTTGGTTTAATAGGGAATGCCACTTAAACAGAGTTGAATTTAATAAAGCCAAGGCCTTATTTCACAAAGTAAATAATCCTATAAATAAAACTAATCTCAATAGAGCTAGTAAAGTTTATAGAAAAACATTGAATAAAAATTACAGAAATTATCAGGAGAAATTGTCAAGCGAGTTAAGAAATACTGCTAGAATGGATTCAAAAAAATTCTGGAATATTTTGAATAAATGTGACGGATCTGTAAAGAAAGGTAATGCTGATATATGTATTACTGAATTATATGAATACTTTAAGGATCTGAACAAGTCTGTTTATGATGATGACGATTTTGAGCTGGAAAATCCTGATAATAGTATTTTTGATGATTATCTGAATGGTGAAATTACCACTGATGAAATTAAATTTTCTTTAATCAATTTGAAGAATAGTAAAGCCTCTGGTATAGATCAAATCCTAAATGAATATCTAAAAAGTACAATGGATGTATTTTTACCAATTTATCAAAAAATATTTAACCTTATTCTGAATACTGCGTCTATACCAGATGTGTGGAAGATCGGTATTATAAAACCAGTATATAAAAACAAAGGCGATCCAAAAGATCCGGATAATTATAGAGCGATCACTTTAGTCTCGTGCCTTGGCAAAGTTTTCACTTCGGTTATTAATAATCGTTTAAATAAAATTTCTGACGAATTTGACCTGATAAGCAGTGCACAAGCTGGGTTTAGAAAGGGTCATTCTACAACCGATAACATGTTTGTATTGTATTCTTTAATCTCAATATATTTTTCATTAGGAAAAAAACTTTATTGTACGTTCATCGATTTTAGTAAGGCGTTCGATTCTGTATGGAGAGTTGGTCTGTGGAAAAAGCTCCAAAAAAGCAACATTACTGGAAAAATTTTCAATATTATTTATAAGCTATATGATAAAACCAAATCATGTGTTAAAAATGGATGTGAACAGTCGGATTTGTTCAATTGTGAGATCGGTTTAAAACAGGGCGAAAATTTATCGCCATTTTTGTTTGCAATTTATTTAAATGATTTAGAAACTTATCTTGTTGAAAAAAATGTAAATTGTCTTCAAACAATAGACAAATTATGTATTGATAACATTGGAGTGTATCTCAAACTATTCATTATCTTATATGCCGATGATACTGTCCTGTTTTCAGAAACACCAGATGGTTTACAGTTAGCTTTAAATGAATTTGAACAATACTGTAATACTTGGAAGTTAACTATCAATTCAGGAAAAACTAAAATTGTCATCTTTTCAAAAAGAAAATGTGCAAGAACTCCCCATTTTACATTATGTAACGTAGAATTAGAAATACTGGAAGGGTATACCTATCTAGGATTATTCTTTGATTTTAGTTGTAGCTTCTTTAAAGCAAGGAAAAAAAATGTTGAACAAGCACAAAAATCAGTGTTTGCTGTCTATAAGAAATTGAGAAACATATCTTTACCAGTTGATCTACAATTGAAGATATTTGATTCATTAATTATGCCAGTTCTTCTGTATTCATCAGAAATATGGGGTTTTGAAAACACAAATATTATAGAAAAAATCCATCTTCAATTTTGTAAATATATACTAAATGTAAGAAAAAGTACACCAAATTTCATTGTTTATGGTGAGCTTGGAAGATACCCACTAGACATCGAAATTAAATGTAGAATAATAGTATTCTGGCATAAGTTGATTACCTCTAGTAAGTTATCAAGTACTATTTATAAGCTTATGTATACATTACATGAAAATGGAACTATGTTATTTAAATGGCTCGCATATGTTAAAGATATTTTTTCTCAAACTGGCCTGAACTATGTGTGGTACTATCAATCTACATGTTCTTTTTCAAAAGACGAAATTAAGAGGCTTGTGAAAAGTAGACTGAAGGATCAATTTATACAGAAATGGTTTGATAATATTCTTAACTCCTCTAGAGGACAAACATATTCAATATTAAAGACAAAGTTTGAACAAGAAAAATATTTAATTAAACTTAATACAAATGATAGGAAAATAATGTGTAAATTCCGTTCTTGCAATATGCATTTACCCATAGAAAAAGGAAGATGGTTAGGTATTCCTCGTCAAGAAAGAACCTGTACATTATGTAATTTGTACATTGGAGATGAATTTCATTACTTATTTATATGTGAAAGTGTTTTAGTTAAATGTCTAAGAGAGAAATATATACCAAAATATTATTTCACTTATCCAAGTCAATTAAAAATGCAAGGATTGTTTAATATATTTAATGTAAAAATTTACACAAAACTTTGTAAATTCATAGAAAAGCTTGAAAAAATATTAACTTAATTTCTGTACTATTTGTGTACTTCTATATGTATCTATGCTATGTACAATGTTGTAATTGTGTACATCACACGCCATGTATCATACTTACTATATGTATGTGACCTCTTGTTACACAGGTAAGTGTGTCGGAGTGAATAAATAAAACTTGAAACTTGAAACTACAAAAGAACAAATAACACCATAACATCGTTGCTGTTTAATTAATAAGTTACTCATGGCATCACTAAGTTGCTAAACAAACGGATAAGTTCAAATCAGTGCGACACCCAAGGCCACTAGCTACATGTATATAGTCTCGCGTTTTATAATTGTTGACTAATTCACTAGTGTAGACAATGATATATCTGAAATGTCCACGCTGATTAACTCATGTAAGTTTGGTACAACTTAGGAGGCACATACGCGTCACCTTTAAATTTTATTTAAAATTATCATACTTGTAAGTACAGTATATCATCTCATTCTGGTACGTACAACTAATACTACGTACACAATAGTATGCTGTGTGAAGATACTTTCTTGTACGTACACGATGGTAAGCTATAATTACCACAATGATATATTATGTTGTACATACAAGATAATTAAACAGTTCCAACAATATATATAATACCAAAATAATTGAATGGATATGTTTGGTCGATTATACATAATATTTTCAGCCGAAAAAAACCTTTATCGTTCTTGCATAATGATATGATTAATATCGCCCGGGCGGTTAGGAAGGTTACAATAAAAAGTATTAATTTACAGATCATCTATAACGAGCGGTCAATAATATAATTATGCAACTTATGCTAGTTTATTTCCGCCGAGCGTTGCAAGTTGCAACTTGGGGTTTTGCGGAGGTGGTAAACTAAAAACACACACTTTAGGGTCAAGATACAAAGTAGACGAGCGTAGCGATGCCAACAAATATTGTTTTAATAAAGAAAATATAGTAAAAATATCAGATAA